CCATATTGGTGAATTTTTGTACTACTATTTTTTTACGGAAATGTCTTCTGTTTGTTCTGAAATGTCACCATAATAATATTCTCGCTTTTGGACGGCTAAATATGTCTATTTAAATTTCAAAATCCTCAATAGCAACCGTTGCCCGAATTGATAAAAGCATTGGACACTAATAGTTGGTCGTGGGTTCGCCACGACCAACTATTAGTGTCCAATACTCCCGTATATATATATATGAGGTGTTAGTTTATGTCACGTGGGAGTTTTCCGGGTTTTATTCACGTGCCTAACATCCAAATACGAGTGTTTTTTCAATATAAGACAATCCAAACAGTTCCAGTACTTAATATATTTGATAATTAATATTATCAAATATTAAGTACTGGATCTGCCCAGGAGAATGCCTTTCGTCAGGACTTTCTACTGAAAGCTGACACCTATTTGGGCATTATTAACGTGGAGAGAATCGGGAAAACTCTACGTAGTTGCCCTTAGCGAGGCGCGAACCCACGACCACCTATCAGTGTTTAGTGATTTCATCCACTCGGCCACTCGTACAAATCCTAAGGATATGCCTCACATGCTTAGGGGTTCCAAATACTATATTGGCACATACTTAATAAACCAGTTGGCAACATAATTATTGAACACAGAGAATATTTAATTATTTTTGTATGAAATATAGTGTATAAACAGTATTTTTGACATTCTGCAGTATTTTCTCCCTTTAAAGAAAACTTTGCTTTCACTTTTCAGCAATAGATACGTCTTTTAATAATATAAACTTTCACAGCCGACAGCGATTTGAAGATATTAAACTTTCTTTCATCATTTTATAATAACTTTTTAATTCGTTATTTTACTTTACTCTCTTCTATTTCATTTTTCAGCATCTGTACTTGAAATGTCGTATCAAAGCAATCGAGTAGAAGAGGAGTCCGGTTTCGATTTCCAGTTTGAAATAGATTACCTTAATTCCTCGGGGTAGGAAGGGGGAGAAAAAAGGTTAAACAACAAAATACTTCAAATTAAAAGATTTTTATCTACTTCAAACCTTCAGAAATGAGCTAAAAAATCTGAAATTAAATTACTTTTTCCCTGTGTCCTGTCAATTTTTGTACTGACGAGAACCTGTGAACAGCAACCACTGGAGGAAATTTTTTGAAAAATGCATTTTTGAGGCCCTTTATGAATGCCTTATTACATTAAAAAAAACTATTAAGTCTCAAATTTACAGGTCCTCAAAATTGTAGAATGTTATAAAAACAAGTCGTATCACATTACAGGATCATTAAGGTCCTCTACTGTGATAGGACTTGTCTTCATTAATGCCCTTTTTTTTAATATAAATTTAGAAAACTGCACGTGCTCAGCCCGTCTTGGCCAGGCTCGAACCCACGACCGAATTTCTAGTGTTCAGGGAACGGAATCGCTTGGGCACTGGTGGGCCCCCACGACCAGCTACCAGTGTTTAGTGGTTTACTTCTGTGACGTGGCATATTGATGCCATATCACAGAGATGGATTAAAAATCCTTTTCGTTGCTAAAATTGTTAGCAAACGTCTTAATTTGCATGAAGACACTTTCTAAATTTCTCTTCATCTCATGAGATCAAGTTTTGATCTGCACCTCCTTATTATATACCTTCACACAATAAAAAAAATATATTTGAAAGTCATGTTTGACAGTTCACACAATCGAAAACTAAGTCATTCAATGTACTAAAAGTAGAGATCTAACATCAATATCATCTTATAAAATAAGGGAGGAAAAAAAAATTGTATATAAATTTACCGGTCTGTTTAAACAACTTAAAGTCAATTTGAAGATGATTGTTACTATGGTAACGTTTTCATTTATTGGTTTGCCGACTGTGAAATTAACTTTCCATCTTCTTTCATAGTGAAGAGCTTAGAACTAATTCCTAATAAAACTTTAAATCATTTCACTGGTTCAATTCAAATTAATATCTTCATTTATATTATTTACTTATGAACATCAGCAATAATTTCGAATAAATTTCCTATTTTTTTTAATCTGTAGTGAATACAAAAGAAACCTCGATATAACGCCACCCCAATCAACGCTCGTGAATTGATCTCCCTCGTAAGTATCCTTTATTTTTTTGCCTCTAAATTGCCAAACGTAGAGGGCCTAGTGGATAAACCACTGAACAATGATAGAGTCTGTCACGGGTTCACACCTCTTCAGAAAGCTTGTCGCCTGAAAATTTCTGAATTTTCTTCGTGTGTATTAGAAATAAAGAGGATCCAGTAAGTGGATAACATCACTAAAGACTGGTAGAATTAATCGCGGGTTCGAGCCTTGTAGAGTTTTCCGCGTTCTCTTCCCGTGTCTAACGCATTAATAGAAGCCAATTTCCCATAGAAAATCCTCATGTTGATCCACATGCTACATCACCTTTACAGGGCAAAGGGCATTCTTACCACCAAATCTCGTGTTTAATTCTCATTACTATGTAATTTTTATTGTTTCAACTATACAAAGTTCTATATGAATGTGTTACTGTATAAATGACATTAAAAAAAAAGATAATACTCTTCGTNTAATGAAAAGTAAACATGGAAAATACATACAAATATATGTATACATATATATTATATATAATTATGCCATTTTATTAGTTAATAAAGCAAAAATATTAAAATAAAATACAATATTTTGTAAGTATTTAACTATAACGTAGTCAGAAGGCTGAAATGTTTCGTCACAATGCTCTCAATTTTAAGTGTCTTACCCCTGTAAATCATACTTTTCCTGATAACAAGTAAGTCATGCTGTTGTCTATATAACACCATTTAGGGGAAAATTTTTATTAAAAAAACGTAACTTCCGCTGTAAACTGGCAAAAATATATATACTTAATTGGGATCCACTTCCCCTAAGCTTTCTACACCTGTTATTAATTTACATCTATCAAACCTCTTTCTCGAGATTAGGAAAGATCAGGCAGACAAACAGATGGACAGTAGTGGGAATTTATGTCTTCTATTTTCGAAAATTGCAGCCCAAAATTGCAAAATGGCTTTTATATTTAGCATGTTTTCATGCATTATAATACTGTAAGGAGATAAATTTAGTTGAAGAGAACGTGGCATTTTTTTACATTAAATTTTAAAATTGTATTGAACAGAAATAAAAATATTTTTATTGTGTTATATAAGCATGAGTTCTGAAATATTCAGAATATTCGTCCTATACATCTTATTTTATACAGCGGCAAAGAAAACTTTAAAAGAATATAGAATATTCCCACCCCTCACACAGTGTACAACAAGAAAGGAATTGCGATGAGTAGAATATATAAGAAATAATGTATATAATAATAAACTTTATTTCTCACAATATATATTATTTATTTCTTAATTGAAAACATAGCTTTCAACATACACAAATAACCTTTTAATCAAAATATCCAGCAACGAGTTGAGTAACTTTTCCGGCAATAGTTTTAAAACTGTATTTAATGCCATCTATTGTAAGATTTCGTTAAAAACAACTTTTTATATTATTAATTATTATAAACTGACAGAAAGGTTAATTTTGAGTGTAAATATGACTTTTATAAAGAAATTTTAAATGATAATAACGAGTAAAATCTTGATTAAGTTTGACCCAACCCGAGATACAGCACACGACTCTCTCTCTCTCTCTCTCTCTCTCTCTCCTCATCCACTTGACCTTTAACCTCCAAAATTTAACAGCATTAATTCTACTAATAAGTAAACCACCCTGCCAGATTTCAGAAATTTTCGACAAAAGGTATGGAAGTTATTATGCTTTAAATTGCGTGGACAAAACATACTCACTAGCATTCATACGTACAGAAACCTTCCATATTTGTTCATTTCTGCACATTTCAAGGACCTCCTAAGTCCAAAAGTGGAGAAATCTTAGGGAAGAAAGGTCATTTTTCGACTGATTGTCGTACTTTTCCTCTGTTATGTGTCAAACCTTTAATAAAGGCCACCTCTAAATGGCAGCCNAGTCTTTTTCTTTTATGTAAAGTCTTTGATGCCTTTTATTACTTTCTCTAATTGTGAATATGTTTCCATTTTCTACAGCTGACATTCACGCAACGTATGGCATGTTTAGAATAAATTTATCTATTCTACTAAGCCGAGAATATTATTTTGTTGGAAAAATATCGTTTAATTCTAAGGAATTCCGTGTATTGCTACCGAAACCGAATTAAATTATTTATCAGGAGAAGTACAATTTTACTTGTGTTACGTGTTACTGTACCATAAAAGTAAGGTATTTAAATTTAATTTTCCTATCCTTAACTTAAAACAACGTTGATTTAATGTTAATTATATAAACTTATATAAACGTTATTAATTTATTCAGAACTTTATAAATATATGTAAATTACTTTATATAATCCAACAAACTTCCGTACAAAAGAATGTTATAAGAGTCATCACTCAAAATATAAATACATTATAAAAAGAATATTTCAATGCCTGATCAAATATTCAGTAGCGTATACAGGAAATTTACATCAACGTTGTATAGATTGGGTCTATAGTAAAAAATTTCTGGAAGAATTTTTGAAAGTTCAACACACAGACACACAACCGTTCCATTAAAATATATATATATGTAAAAATGTCACTAAGTATAAAGATAACCAGAGATTTTAAAGGCAAAAGAGCGTAATTTATGGGATCTAAGATGGGTAAGCAAATGGAAGAAATGACAAGGGGAGCCATTTTTATAATACAACAATAAAATAAATCCCACGCTATGATAGAAATAACACTTTTCCGAAAAGCATTCGAAACATTAAAGCTTACTTACAGAGAAAATCTGGAAGTGGCACTCCGAAAACACATCAGCAGCTCCCTATACACACACCTTTACTGTTTTATACAAAGCGCAAAGAGCTGTACTCATTAAGTAACTTTCATATAAAATTAAGTACATAAATGAAACATATCGATCTCTTTATACAGGAAAGTGAGGGAGAAGAATTGACATTTTTCTTTTCTATACAGGGAACAAATCGAGAATAAACGATTTTTTTTAATACCAGAGAAAAGTCCAGCATCCAAAACAACATTATCTTATCTACTGTAAATGAATTATTTATGTAAAGTTAAAGTCGAGAAACAAGGAAGGGGGTTACCTTTAAAATAAAGTAATTTTTAAATAATTTAGTAGGCTTATATGTTTCTCACTCAATTCAATAAAGGGAAAAGTTTAAAAAGAAAAGTACACTACAGTAATCTTTAATACTCGTGTAATGCTAAAGATTCTTTATAGAAGCGCCTCACGTCCTGTAACGAAGGATTATTACTTTACAGTGTTGCCTGTTTCCTATTTAATATAAAAGGCATACTTTAGTGTAATATTTGTAATATATAATCTATTAAATAAAATTAAAATCGTTGTATTTTACTTACACTCTTCTAAATCAAAGGGGGTCCCTGTAAAAACTGCTGCAGAAATATCCAAAAAATTTGTATTAAAAATTAATATTTTTTGGGTCTTCCATCGTAAAAATACTTTGTAAAGGTATATTAACTACAAGATTACACTACCTTCTATATAAAAGGCTGTATGAAAGCTTAAATTTACGAGTAAAGTAGTTTTTCCTAAACAAAATCGCCTGAAAAATGCCAAAAATTTTACGTGTTATATATACAAAACTTGTATTTTTAAATTAAAAAATAAAAGTAATAATAATACTTTAAACGTCATTAAACATGCAAATTACTACACTAAACATTGACAGTTTTATGGAATATTAATTACTGTACTGATCATTTACAGTTGTATATTAACTGGTTTAGAACACTGGTTTCTCTTGTACTAACCATTCATCTAACTGCTAAACAGATGGTTTTCAGTAACATTTGCTGTATCGTAATGGCTTTCACTCGTTTGTTTTCTCATCACGATTGCTTCTTCACGACTTTGGATGAAAAATTCAGACAGTAAGATACCAACAATGTACTAGATATAAAGTATATATTATGGTAAATTATGCTGAATAATTCCATACGTCACACTATAACAACCGCAGCAGGGGCACAATTGAACAATTAAATGTTATATTGTTTGCTTTAAGTACTCGAACAAACAATTTATAAGGTTATATTATGTAGTTTTAACGTCGATAACCTTACTTTTAAGTGCATTTTTCTTAAATTACAGTTGCTAAGATACAAATACTTTTATCGTAGTTACAAATATTAAAAGGAATTTTTTAATATTAGCAAACATTATTTTACATAAATCCTTTAAAAAAAATAAAATTTGTAAGAAATACTCGTTAAAATATTTTAAANTATATATATATAATTTTTTTTCTTCTAACAAATATTGTTATAAAGAAGAAAAAACTGAACTAAGTTAAGGGAGAAAATAGCAAAGCATCTACTTCAGGTAATTTCATTAAGTGTTTGCCACCAAAGGACAAATTTCCACAGAAAGACAAATACTCTATGCTAAGATTTCTTGCAGGAAAGAATATAAATGTCGTTTTTTTTTTTTACGTCACTGGTCTATCTTCAAATTGAATTTTCTATTAAACTGACAGCTTGCTTGAGAAGAAGTTTGTTCTTTTTTTTTTCTCTCTTTTTTTTTGAAATTTATCATCCATTGACGAATAGGTTTTAAATTAAACATTATATAAATCGATCTTACTCACTATCAGGTAAAAAACCAAGTATAAAATCGGGGCATGTAGAATATGCTATATCACCAGCAGGTGTGTCGTTCCAACAGCTCCATCCATCAAATGTCCCCGTGCAATATTCACCTAAAAATAAATAATTCCGCAAGAAAATAATGTATATAAATCACTAAAAAATATAAATAATCTTAACTAAGTTCACACAGGATAAGTTAATTACCTGTAAAAGTTTTACTTGTCGACACTAATCTTTTTATACACTGTTCGTAGGCGGTTGATAACTTTGAATTATCTCGAGGAGGTTTATCCAAGTTGGAAAAGTTTTCAATTAATTCTTTTAATCTTTTTTGTATCCCTAAATACTAAAGATAAATAAATTCCTTAATCCTAATTTAGTATATTGAATTGCTCTTCAGTTGATAAAGATCTTAAATTATTTTTTTGTATCCTTTATCTAACCTCATTAAGGTCAAACGAGCAGGAATCATAATTTGCAATTTCTTCTTCTTTGTAATTAGTTTCCCATTGCCCGTTCCATAAACAATTCTTCAATGCAGTTCCTGAGACGAACAATTTCTTGGTTTATTATATTTTAATCATTTAACTAAAAAATAATGGTTATTACACGTTGTAGAAAAGAAAAATCTCTAATAATATCAATGGATAGTCTACATGATATATGAATGAAACGTCATTAATTCGATTAATATAGTTTCTACACGCTATAATCTTAATTAATATACGTCATTACGTATAAATCTTTGTGTTTTTTTATTAGAAAATATAATTTCTTATAAAAACTTATGATATTTAGCTTCAAAAACGTGTCAAATAAATGTAAAAATATATAAAATAAATTTAAAAAGTCTTGATTTCACATAGCCATTAATAGAAATATAGTTTTAACATTCATCATCAATTAAGAAGAATCTATTAACGTAAATATTTTGCTCGTATTTAACTTCACTAATTTTAAATTAATTTATTTATAATGACTATTTTTAAAGTGATAAAAACCTGTTGAACGTTTGTGTTGACCTAGAGAAGGGCATGGCATAGATGCTTGATGTCCAGCTTTGGTTACATTCCAACAAATCCAGCCATCAAAAATGGCAGGACAGAATATCTCTATAAATAAATAAAAATGATTTAGAACTACATTCTCTCACTTTTTTTAGTTTTTTACTCATATATCTACTTATTTTTTATTCTCTATTGGTTCAGAAGTGGATAAAAGATTAAATAATTCAAACTCGTTGTGTTCAAAAGTCTGTGATCTCCACTACTTACTTTGCACCATTTCTTGCGGTGACACAAAGCCCACAAACATGAGGTGCAGCACCTCTCTACAATATGTTGTGGAGCTTCGTGCCACCATACAATTAGCGGCATTGCTGTGATTAATGGCACAAAGCATACAAACATGCCAATGCAGCACCTCTCTGCAATATGTTGTGGAGCTTCGTGCCATCATACAATCAGCGGCATTGCTGTAATTGGTGGCACAAAGCCCACAAACATGAAACATGAAAGCCTACAAACATGCCAGTGCAGCACCTCTCAGCAATGTGTTGTGGAGCTTCGTGCTACTATACAAGCAGTGGCATTGCTGTTCGTGGTGGCGCAAAGCCCACAAACATGAGCTACAGAACTGTCAGTAATGCCACTGCTTGTATGTATCTTTCGCAGTAAATATTTACTTTAATTGCTTTAATATTTAAAATACTCCAAGTGTTCTTGTTACATTTGTCCGCATTCATTTACAGTTCTGTCTCTTCACGTACAAACGTCACCGGTACTTTTGGACACGTGCGTATATCTAACACCAGTCCACTACAATACCCAAACAGTAGGAAGAAAAGTTTCTGAGTAATTCTCGGTTGATACGTACATTTTGAACACATCAAGTATGAAGCAATTCATGTTTTTTTTATCATGAAAATCATAAAAAATATTAGAAAAAATTAATTACCATTATTATTAAACTGATTAGCAATTTGTCGGCATTCCCAATATAATTCAATTTGTTGTAATAAAATCTCTTCAATTAATTTATTTTTCTGTTCCTGATATTCACGTTCTGACTTTGTGATCTTATCAGTGTGCGGTTGCAGGCTCTAAATATAGAGATTTGTATTATTCAATTATGATAAAAACAAATTTAACCACTTAAAATATTAATAATATCATTAAAAGTATTCTTACTTTGACAAAATATAGAGATATAAACATGTAGAATATCGTTTTCGTGTTTCTAAATATAAACATCCTTTCTAGAGAAAAAGAAACATTTTTACATATTAGTTACAAACTTGCTCGCCAGATGACGCTTATAGCGTTAGACATTTTAAAAACAAAGCGCCATTTTAGTATTTTTAAATTTTATTATTTAAATAAATTTTTCTTTAAAAAAATTAATTAATTATAAATTCTAATAATNGCAGAATTTATGAAATGGGTCACAACTCAAATCTGACAAATTCTCTAGAGGAACCAAAAAGCCATGGATAGATAACTGAAGACAAGTATATCCAGACTTTACAGAACCATGTGCAAAGACTTTGGATAAGGCTTATCAAATGGAGTACAGGTATTATCTTATCAAAGTTCTAAAAAAAATGCAAGCAGTTGCTTGGAACCAAAACTTCCAAAAATGGTCATTTCTAACAAGAAATACTTCAATGTTATCTAATAAGTGAGTTTGCAAAACAGCACAAGTCTAGTTAAAAGGACTACAGACATTTCTGGTGAAGAACATCTATCATATCTAACTCAGACTCAGAAAGGTCATGTTTAGTGAACTGTGTCTTTTCAAGAAGGATGGAAGAAGTGGACAAATGCAAGAGGTAGTTGACTGCAAAAACTATCAGGATAAAATTTGACCTAAAGCTAATGGTAATTGCTGGGTATCTGATGGGTAAAGCATCTATCAGCAAGATTCAGCACATGTTCACAAAGCCTAGAGTATTCAGATATGGTTCAGAGAAGAAGTGCAGTTATCTCCATAGGAATGGTCCTCATCAACCCCACACTTCAATCCCTTGATAATGAATTATGGAAGAAACTGATGTCTGATATATGTTCTAGAATGTATAGTGACATTAACTTCCTGATTATAGTTCTGAAGAAATCTGCATTAAATTTTCCACTGCCCACCATTCTTTCCATGATAGACAAGTGTCTCTAGAAACTTTCCACTTGTATCAAAGTGAAAGGTAAACCATTTCCAGAATAAATAAGGATAACAAAACTAGACTAGCTAAGAAGCTTAAAGAAATTCAGTTTTTTGTAATTACAAAATTTAAAACTGTAATAAAGTATAACATGAAATAACAGAGTATGAAATGAGAAAAAAAAAATTATTATGAAAGCAATTTAGTCTTTACACTAGCAAATTTTTGTTTTTTAGTTTAACAGATACTTTCTGATCAGACCTAACTTCTGTTTTAAATATAGAGACTGATATTTTTATATTTAACACAATATTTTCTGTAAAAGTTATTCAGCAAGACCAATAATTTTACATTATTCTGACTTAAACGATGTTTAAAATAACTCAAATAATATATTCAAATAATTTTCATAGCTGAGTTCAGAATCAGATAAGCAGTTCAAAGGATTAAATATAAAGTTAAAATTTATACTTGTTACATAGCCATTGGTTACTATGTTTTCTTATCTTCACCAACCAAATCCTTATTTTGGGTAGTCTCATTACTCCAGATTCAACTTCTAAGCAAAACTTTTATTTCCTGTTTCCAAAGTTCTAAAGAAGTGTCTTTAACACTATTATTTTTTTTTACTCATATTCATATATTATATTTGGCTATGTGCATTCTAATTATACTCCTTTGATAATGATTTCCAATTTGCCTTTAATTACTGACAAATATTTAAAAAAAAAAACTTCTAAAAGTTTAAAATTTAATTTATTTCTTGTTATATGAACTTGGTTCATGAATATTTTGTTTCAAATCATTTATTAAACTTTTCTCAAATTTTTATTTTTATAACTTTGTAATATACATTCTTAAAGTATCACATTCATTTTAAAGAGAGTCTCATGAAAATAAAAAAAATAATTAATAAATAAAGCACTAATTACTTCACAACTAAATGTTCATCTTCTTTAGTTAACTGCATTAGAAGAAATACAATAAACCATTCATCTTCAATATTGTCACCAAATTTTGTAGAACCTTCTAAATGAGCAGGCATTTCTTCTGTTTAATAAAATAAAAAACAAATGTTAAAATTCCAAAAAATGAGCAATAATGTTTCTATTAAATAAATAGTTATTCTATAAATTTTAGTATTTAAAAACAAAAACAAATTTTATTATTATCTATACAAATGCATCTAATTAAATTTAAATGACCAGGTAAACTGCAACAGAACTACAGTACAGAAATATAATCCAATTTAATCTTAATTTGTCAAAAATACAGATTTTTAATGAAATAATTGAAATGTCCAAAACTTTTGAGGAATTTAATAATTTCTTATCCTTTTAAATGATTTTGGACTATTTATCAAGTTATAGTGAAAACAAACAAATTGTTTAATTTCAAAAATTTTAACTTCAAGCAAATCTTTGTTGTTTTAAAAATGAATTGAAAGATTATTAAAAAATTGCTTTGTCTTTGACTTTCTGTTAATCCTACTTGACAATCACTATAGCACTTTTATACTGCAAGCAACAAAAGATAAATTCTCACTAGACATATATTAATACAAGTTATATAAAACTGGAAGCTATACTGAATGTTTAAATGCCTTTATTTAAACTCCAAAGAAGATTGAATGGAAAAAAAATTAAATTTTCCTTGGGCATTCAAACAACCAGTACAGCTTCCAAATTTACAGAACGTAGGGTATCTGTCTACAGAGAATTTACATAGTAATACCCAGGAAGTGAGTAATAGTAAAGTGTGGTTTATCAAGGACATATTACAAATTTGGCTGCCTTGAAAGACAATATCACATTGCAAATGAAAAATATCACAAAGGATCAGTTACAGTTGGCCATTAAACACATTAAAAATGTAAAATCTGATGTTGTAATTGAGATTCAAATCTTGTCAGCAGCAGATAGAGCTGTCCAAGCCTTTTGTTCATCTATACACACAAATGAGGATGTTTGTTTGCTTGCTTGCTTTGCATGCCTAGGCCATTCGACCAATTGCTATGAAACATTCAAATACTTCCAACTTACTTAATGTCATACATTCCACCCCAAATTATTGATTGGATTTCTATACATCAATTAATTTCTGCCTACATTGGATTGCCGTTTTTACATGTAGTGCTATCTATTGGAAAAAATTTAACAAAATAATTAACTAATTATAATTCTTACAAAAATACGATATAATTTTAAAAATATATATATATATATATATTTTACAATATAGAATTTAATCCTGAATATCGCGAATGAAACTTGTAAGAAACCCAGTTAAAATATTATTTATTAAGACGGAAAAAAAACGAAAATTTCACCATATAAATTTTGTAAAATGTATAAAAAGAAGAAGAAAAAGAAGAAGCCATTGCAATTTCTTTCTGAAAATTTTCTATTCTTTTCTTTCTTAAAATCAACAAAAGGTTAAAAACAAGTATAATTAACAAGGTAGAGAGAGAGTCAGAGAAGAAGGAATTTCTTTGCACAATTATATAGCTTGATTACATATAATTGCGCTCATAATCATGCAAATTAAAGAAAATTAAACATTTAAAAAAAATAAAAATTGATGAAAGAAAATCCCCTTTAATACAAAGTTCCTAAATATTTTATTCACAGTGCAGTAATTAAGTTCTGTCTATACTGGGATAAAATTTCCTTTATAAATTTATAATGATACGAACCTTTAGAAAAATAAACTATAAATATTTCTGTAAGAAAAATAATAAATATTTATAACATTCAAGCATTGTATAGATATAAAAATAATAATAATATTTACTTCACTTCTCAATGTTTTCTTGGCATCTATACCTGTGAATAATGTCTATGTTTCTCCATCCTCTCTCCCTCTTCCTCCTCTCAATATACAAAGATGAGAAGCTGTCGAAGATTCTTTACTGTTTAATCTCCATCTTAAATCTTGATTTATCAAAGAAAATTTATATATTTGCAACTAAAATAAGAGGGAAAAATCAGGGAGAGAAAAAAAAGAGTTGTAAAAATTTACATTTTTTCCTCTTTAGCTAATTTTATTATTATGCAGATACAAAAGCAATAGAATAATTAAGTTTTGCTGAGGAATTTTATGTACTTTTTACATTTTAAAATTTATTCGTTGATTCTTTGTTTAATCATGTTTTATTCTAAATAAGTTTTATTATCTACTTAACTTTAGTTACTTATGCAAATTGAGCTAAGTTTCTTAATAAGATTTAGTCTAGAAAACGTTTCCTCTTCAAAGAAAATCGTTACTACAGTAAAAACCTGTTTACGACGGAAACGGACATTTTCAATTTTTGCATTTTCTGCTTTATAGAGGTTTATGCTTCGGTTTTTTTAACTTCTCGATAGCTTTTTACGCTTCAAAAACGGGTTGAAAGACTGTATATCTATGTATAAACTTCATCCCACCATTAAATATTTATTAATTATAACTTACCAGGTTTTATGCCAAAAATTCCGCTTTACACAGGTTCTGTTACGTATTCTATATATAAAAATCTCTTCCGTTTTCTCATTAGACAGGTTTTCATCTTTTAGTATAATTTTATATACAACATCTTCCGTTTTATACAGGGTAAGTTTTAGACAAGTTTCTTTTACTATAAAATAATATTAATTTAGATGAAGTTTCTTGACAGTTGTTTATATTTTATACGGTTTATTTCTGGTATAAGATTATTTTTTTATTATACCAGAGAGAGAGATTTTTTTAAGAGATTTATAGTAACATCTACTTTAAAACTTTTATACGTAACTTACAGTAAAATATATTCTTTTGATACTTACACTTTCTAAATAGATGTAGATCAATATCAGCAATCATTAAAATTTAATATTAGATTATTATAAATATCCGTATCCGTAATTATTAAGTAAAACCTGTTCAAAACGGAACCTTAATAAAACGGAAACTTGCCGAACCGGAAATATATGGTACCGTACGAATCCGATTTATACATGTTTATATTTATGAAATATAAAAAATATACAGTCAAACCTTTAATAAAGGCCACCTCTAAATGGCAGCCATTTTTTTATCTTCCTGTCGGTGGTCGTTCTTTACAGGTTTGACTATATATTGGCTAAAAGGAGTTAGAGATGACCGGCACGACTCTATTGCTAACAGGAAAAGTATGATTTACAGGGGCACGACACAACTAAAATTGAGAGCATTGTGACGAAAAGTTGAAAGCTAGCATTGTGACGATATCAAAGTAAACAATTAAATTAAGTTTAACATTTCTTTTAGGAAATGTTACTACTTCAGTTAGTAGCGTAACCAGAATTTAATATTAGGGAGGATGAATTAAAACGTGCGTATGTGTATTTATCCCTGTACCATAGTTAATGCAACCACCAGCCTGTAGCAATGTGGATGAAGATGTGGTAACATTACTGGGGGAGAACTCCTCGGTTACGCTATTGTTTTCAAATCTGTCTGAAAGTAACTATTACTAGTGCAATTCTTATGTATAACTTCAATTACAGTTTTATCTAGACAATGGTCAGTTAATGACACCTAAATAGGGCCATGATTCTCATAGAAACACCTAAATAAGGCCCAGATTATTNCTCTTCAAAGAAAATCGTTACTACAGTAAAAACCTGTTTACGACGGAAACGGACATTTTCAATTTTTGCATTTTCCGCTTTATAGAGGTTTGTGCTTCGGTTTTTTTTAACTGCTCGATAGTGTTTTACGCTTCAAAAACAGGTTGAAAGACGTGTATCTATGTATAAACTTCATCCCACCATTAAATATTTATTAATTATAACTTACCAGGTTTTATGCCAAAAATTCCGCTTTACACAGGTTCTGTTACGTATTCTATATATAAAAATCTCTTCCGTTTTCTCATTAGACAGGTTTTCATCTTTTAGTATAATTTTATATACAACATCTTCCGTTTTATACAGGGTAAGTTTTAGACAAGTTTCTTTTACTATAAAATAATATTAATTTAGATGAAGTTTCTTGACAGTTGTTTATATTTTATACGGTTTATTTCTGGTATAAGATTATTTTTTTATTATACCAGAGAGAGAGATTTTTTTAAGAGATTTATAGTAACATCTACTTTAAAACTTTTATACGTAACTTACAGTAAAATATATTCTTTTGATACTTACACTTTCTAAATAGATGTAGATCAATATCAGCAATCATTAAAATTTAATATTAGATTATTATAAATATCCGTATCCGTAATTATTAAGCTTAAATACCTCTAGTAAGATTTTAATTATCTGAACTTGTATACTACAGTAACCTACTATATATATATATATTAATATATGATTAAAATTGATCACATTCGTTCAAGCTACATACACGTTTAGTTTAGAGGAATTGATAGTTTAATCATATGATTACTAGTATATAATTTAAATGATCATCAAAGCAATTAGATTTATAAGTAATAATATATAATATAAATTTAAATGTGGCTAAAGTGACATTTTAGTATTTTAATCAATTTTATAGTTCATAAGTGAAGATAGAACTTACATGATTTCAACTGGATACGCCCTTGTGTGTCTGCAAGATGATGTTCGATCTTTCAGATACGCCGAACAAACTCCACGAAATGATTTTTCATACATTAAAAAAGAAAAAAAATTAAGTTTTCAACTTTTTACTACTTGAAAAGTCCATTGTTTTGCTCATCAAATATTTTCTATATTAATTTTTTTAAATTTCTGATTAAAAACTGAATTGCTCTCCTGTATACACACATACACACGTCTAATTTTTAATTAAATAGAATTTTTTTTAGGTGTTTTCTCTTATGAATTATAGATAAAGTAGGGTGTATTTTATATAAGAAAAATATATTTCTTATACTTCTTAGCTATGTACAGGTTATTTAGTACGCTTGTTGAATTCCACACACTAAAAGATATAATTTCCGTTAAGAGATCTGTAAAGAAAATCTTGAAGTTTTCGTCGTGGTTGGATGTTATTTCCTTCATCTCTATACTATCTTTCTTCGCGTGTAACTCATTTCCGGCTATAGGATTGGTTTTGTAGCTGAAACTGCGTTACATTGATAGATTTGTTTACTTTTATAAGAAATAGTTACATAACATTTACAAAATAGACAGCGCTTTTAACTTAAAACTTTTAACTTTAAACCCTTCTAACTTAAAACCTTCACCCCCTTCCAGCTTAGAAATTCGAACTTTAACCTCATAAATCTTTAAAACGTTTCCAGATTTAATATACATTTTAGTGCATATTTTACATTAATTAAAACAAATAATAAATATAATTTTAAAATAATAAAAATAATAATAATATTTACTTCACTTCTCAATGTTTTCTTGGCATCTATACCTGTGAATAATGTCTATGTTTCTCCATCCTCTCTCCCTCTTCNTTTATATAACTGGAATATAATAAATTATAAAAAATCAAATATATATTTATGAAATATAAAAAATATACAGTCAAACCTTTAATAAAGGCCACCTCTAAATGGCAGCCATTTTTTTATCTTCCTGTCAGTGGTCGTTCTTTACAGGTTTGACTATATATTGGCTAAAAGGAGTTAGAGATGACCGGCACGACTCTATTGCTAACAGGAAAAGTATGATTTACAGGGGCACGACACAACTAAAATTGAGAGCATTGTGACGAAAAGTTGAAAGCTAGCATTGTGACGATATCAAAGTAAACAATTAAATTAAGTTTAACATTTCTTTTAGGAAATGTTACTACTTCAGTTAGTAGCGTAACCAGAATTTAATATTAGGGAGGATGAATTAAAACGTGCGTATGTGTATTTATCCCTGTACCATAGTTAATGCAACCACCAGCCTGTAGCAATGTGGATGAAGATGTGGTAACATTACTGGGGGAGAACTCCTCGGTTACGCTATTGTTTTCAAATCTGTCTGAAAGTAACTATTACTAGTGCAATTCTTATGTATAACTTCAATTACAGTTTTATCTAGACAATGGTCAGTTAATGACACCTAAATAGGGCCATGATTCTCATAGAAACACCTAAATAAGGCCCAGATTATTGAAAAAAAAAACATAATTAGAGTGACGATTTCCATAAAAACATCTAAGTAGGACCTAATTTCCATACAACCATCTAAATAGGACACAAATTCCTATAGAAAGTCATCTCGTATGGCATCTCTTTGGCACATCGCCCATTTGTTACATTGCTTTATCCAATCAATTTAATCCGACCAGTTATTTCTATAAATGTCTGTTAGTATATCAATTTATTTAATAAGGAATCTTTAAGGTTACCCCTACAATTAATACTGGAATAATTTATTTTATTTTAAGTTTCTTCTAGAAACAAAAAATGTCTTTACTACGTTACCTCCTTCCAGAATCGACGATACTAATCCATTTCTACAAGTAATAACTGTTATTATTCTAGTTCCTTCAAGAAATAATTGTCCTATTGCGTCAGTTCATTCTAGAATCACCGTTACTAATCCATTTCTGTTAGTAATAACTGCTGGATTTTCAGTTACTTCTAGTAATAACCGTACAAATGCCAATTCTTTCTGGGAATAACGGTTAAAGTATTACATTGAAAACAGTTCAAACAACTAGGAGTTTTACATTTATATTGCTGTTTACTGTTTGTTATAACATTTTAAATTTTCTTTTATCCATTTTCTACTAAAAATAACATTTAGTATTTACAGAATGCGAGGAAATATTTACATTTTTTGAATTATTAATGCTCAAAAAAAATGCTAAGTAAATCTACTTTTTAATGAAAAGTAAACATGGAAAAAACATACAAATATATGTATACATATATATTATATATAATTATGCCATTTTATTAGTTAATAAAGCAAAAATATTAAAATAAAATACAATATTTTGTAAGTATTTAACTATAACGTAGTCAGAAGGCTGAAATGTTTCGTCACAATGCTCTCAATTTTAAGTGTCTTACCCCTGTAAATCATACTTTTCCTGATAACAAGTAAGTCATGCTGTTGTCTATATAACACCATTTAGGGGAAAATTTTTATTAAAAAAACGTAACTTCCGCTGTAAACTGGCAAAAATATATATACTTAATTGGGATCCACTTCCCCTAAGCTTTCTACACCTGTTATTAATTTACATCTATCAAACCTCTTTCTCGAGATTAGGAAAGATCAGGCAGACAAACAGATGGACAGTAGTGGGAATTTATGTCTTCTATTTTCGAAAATTGCAGCCCAAAATTGCAAAATGGCTTTTATATTTAGCATGTTTTCATGCATTATAATACTGTAAGGAGATAAATTTAGTTGAAGAGAACGTGGCATTTTTTTACATTAAATTTTAAAATTGTATTGAACAGAAATAAAAATATTTTTATTGTGTTATATAAGCATGAGTTCTGAAATATTCAGAATATTCGTCCTATACATCTTATTTTATACAGCGGCAAAGAAAACTTTAAAAGAATATAGAATATTCCCACCCCTCACACAGTGTACAACAAGAAAGGAATTGCGATGAGTAGAATATATAAGAAATAATGTATATAATAATAAACTTTATTTCTCACAATATATATTATTTATTTCTTAATTGAAAACATAGC